TATTTTGATCTCTCACTCATTTATTCTGAAGACACATGTAGGGTAGAAATATTTACCTTTACTAAGGAGATGCTCATGGCGCTTCTCATCAAATAAGGACAGCAGCACCTCTTTGTGCTTCTGAAATTCAGCCATCTGTTCCTCTTTTTCTTCAGACTCTTCTTTAGCCTTTAGAGAAAAAAAAAATATAGTATGAGAGACTTGCTATGTAAGAGCAGGTGAAAAGCAGACAATTTGTGCTGCGTGAGGGTGAGAGGTGACAGGGAGACACAGGGAGGGGAGGATCTGAGAGCCGGCGCTGGTTGGACGTGGTGACAGAGGTAGACCTTCTTTCCTGTTTTACTAACAGGAAAAAGAAAGCAAGAAACTCCTGGTTTATCACCCCAAAGCACGATGAAATTGTGGTCTGGCCAGGGTGACCCTGTACCAGATCCAGCATCTCAGGATGGAGAATTTGAACAACTTATCTGAGAAGTTTACACAGAGTTGGTGAAGAACATGGGATTTGAGGAAAGCGAGAATCAACAGTATTTCTTTCTAATCTTTTTTTGTTTTAATTACTGGTACAAAGTAACAAAGATAACTTTAATTATTTTTTTTACTTATGTTTTGGTACAGGGTCTCACTACGTAGCTCCGACTCACAGTGATCCTCCTCTTTGCAGCCTCCCCAGCACTGGGATTACAGGCATGCGCCACCACGCCTGGTGCAGTGGCCGGCTCAGGGTGCCGGTGACAGAAGCCGCATGGCACGCCGCACCTCAACAGCATTTCTTAAGCAACTGAATTTACCTAGTCTGGTTAATAAATGGGATCCAGCAGATAACAAAAGCAAGAGAAAAATAATATGCTTAAATATATTTAATTAGCAACTCTTTAGCCTCTCTCCTCTCTCTTCTCTCTCTCTCTCTCTCTCTCTCTCTCTCTCTCTCTCTCTCTCTCTCTGTATTACCACCAGGGATTGAACTCAGGACCTTGTGCTTACCAGGTAGGCACTTATACTGCTGAGCTATCTCCCTAGAATTTTTTTTAACCTTTTATTTATTTGATACAGGGTCCCATTATGCTTGGGTGGTCTTCAAGGTGCACCCAGGGTGGACCAACAGGACATGCAGTACTGGGGATCGAACCCAGGTGCTTGTGCTTGGCAGGCAGGCACTTAAGACTGCAGAGCTATCTCCCCAGCCCCTCAGCTGTTTCTGCAGTCCTTCCTAGTTACACCTAGAATTGGCCATACTATAGAATTTTTTGAGACATAAAAAAGTCCTAGTAATTTCCATTATTTGCAATTAGCAGAAATCTTCCCTGCCACACAGGGAATTTAATAATGATTTTATTGCACATGAAGAAAACAATAAATCATAATCAAAGAGAATATATTAATGAGAAAAAGAACATGAGAAACAAAGAATATTAGGCAATATTCGAATAAAATCCTCAGTATTTCTTTAGTACATTTATTTTAACTTATGACATCATAAATACCTGAATCTTTAGAAATTCCTCTTCCAACCCTTGGATGACATTCTTTTCAAACTTTCCCCAGAAGTTAAATCCTTGTGGCTCTAACCCAGGTGTTCTTTCCAGCCATGCCTGAAGTAAATATTATTTTAGGTGAAAATGTGATAAATTTTAAACATATAAAACATACTGTACCTAACATTCTTTACACCAGAAATCTTCATAATATTGAAAAGCATATGTTAAGTTTATTTGTATTTTTTTCCCTGCCTTCTGTTTTCTGATTTATGAAATAGTTGCATGTTTGATTTTCCAAGTCTTTGAAGTAATCAGCTTGAAGGGCCAGGGAGACAGCGCCGCAGCACTCGTGCCTGCCCGGCGCATGCGAGGTCCTGAGGTTGATCTCCCACTACCCAAAACAATAACATAAGATGAATAAAATAAAGTAACCCTCATTAATAATGTTCACTTCTTACTTCTTAAATAGATTTCTGATAACAGAAGACCCAAGTTTTTCTTAGAAATATGAACATTTATCAACCTCATTTTAATAGTCTTATGATTTGCTCTCCAAATATTTTGTTTTGGGAGGAGATAAATGTAGGACTTCTGTAAGATCTGATCTCTCTTAATCTCAGAGGCATAGTTCCTTAAGAATATTAAAATTAACTACTCTTGCAATTATTTTAACATTCTATAGGACTTTGTAATCTAAACAAAATTTTATGTCTACCCATGAGTTCTCTTTGAGCCTATATTTAATTTTGGACTTAGTCTTGTGATTTTTTAAAAATATACTTAGTACAGCCTCTACAGGGTCTATAGGATCTCACTACACAGATCAGACTCATAGTGATTCTCCTGTTTTCAGCCTCCCAAGCACTGAGATTACAGGCACTCACCACCACGCTCAGTCTCAATTGCCATCTCAGTGCACCCCGGGGACAGGGCCAGCACGGCACACTGGGGATTGAACCCCAGTCCCTGCATCTGCCTGAGCAGGAGCTTTAGTCTGCTTAGCTATCTGGATGGCCCCAGTCTTGTGATTTTTTTTCTTTCCATGTTTATAAGTCATTACAGGAGCACACATAGCAGGCGATAACATGAACCCACATTTTAAACACCCAGGAGGTTAATGAGTACTGTATAATTTACTAAAAAATTTACTTTACAAAGGAAAGATTTTGTGAAGTAAATCAAGACAATAAATACTGAATAACTTACCTATGAAGGCTCAAATTAACAATGCCTGATCACTATAGACCACTAGAGGTTTGGATATGAAGGAAGAATTCTTAGTATTTTAATTTAATAGAGAAATTTACACAAGTAGAAATTTTCAATTATTTGTATTTAAAGAAATACAATCTGTAGTTAAATCAAAGATAAATTATGCCATATATTTTTAAATAGAGAATATTTTAAAGAAATTAACTGTACTAGGCTAGAAGCCAGCTAATTAATACTGCTTCATGACGATGCTTTAAAGGAATTGTTTTAATGATATGTGATTACTAAATATTAACCTACAGTTGCTTGTATAGTATTTTTTTAATTTCCCAAAATATTTTAGTAAGTTCAATTTCCAAGTTAGTATTTTAAGTTTTTTCTATTCTTTTTATTTGTTTTTCTTTTTATGTTGTTGTTTGGTATCAGCAATCGAACTCAAGACCTTGCTGCGCCCCTGAGCTACGTCCCAGCCTTTTACATGACCCAGTTTCGGAAGCAGAGTGAGCCAGCGCTGTGGGCTGGCCGCAGGGGCGGGAGGGGCGCACCTCCACGAGCTGCAGCAGGGTCTTCTCGCGCTCCGACCTGAGCAACATCTCGTTCTCCTGTCCGTTGAAGCTGTCTCGGTAGTGTCTCCTGGAGTAGGGCACTCGCATGTCCTGGAGAACCCCTATCTTGTTCTCTAATAGGCGGAACTGTAGACTCTGGAAGCCTGATGCAGGAATTAAGTAATCTCTTGAGAAAAGATACAGGGAGAAAAGACAAGAGAAGAAAGAGGCGGGTCACCATTGCGCGTCACTCCAGCGGTTTCTTCCTTGTTCTGAGGCCTGAGCTTAGAATCCATAAGGAGCGCCTGCTGCCCGGGGAGAAGGCACACAGGGCCCTCCCGCTCCTTCTCGCCTTCCCTTTCCTTTCCACGCTCCCGTCTCAGCGCATCCCCGGACCCCTGTCATCTCCACAGAGTCTAGCTCTCTGCTAACTGTCGTCCTGCTCTTACTTTGCTGTATAAATTACGTATGCTTTCGGTCTTCTCAGGTAAGAGCAATCGCGCTGTAAGGAACCTTCAATGTCTGGCGTACTTCACCTACCCAGGTGGCCTCAAGGTCCTCCGTCTCCCTACAGACGACTTGCATTTCAGCTTCTTAACGCTGCGGCACGTGGCTTCTCCTACTGTGAAGGATCATGGGTATATTACCCAGAACCCACGTGTGCAGCCACTGAAGTCGTGCCTTTGCTAAAGTGAGCCTCTCTACCCACATCATATCTGCCAATCCATTTGAACCTGCACAGGTTACATATTTGTGAAGTTTCACATATATTTTGTATGCCTAATATGCATTTTAGTATATAATGTATATAATACATCTTATTTAATCTTCCATGAATGTACATTCAATAAATTCTATATACATGTGCGTGGTGTGCTCAGTTGTGCATAGGCAAGTGTGTATGGCTACATTTTTGCCTACGATACGGACAGCGGGACACAGAGCTTCACAACGCTGAGACATTTACATTACTGGGTCCTGCCAGAAAGACGTTCTTGCATGCCGAGCTTCATCTCAGATCTGGAATCAGTGGGAGCATCAAGGAAATAATGCAAGTACGAAACCTGAGATGCTGCCTGGTCCAAAAATGGGATCCAAAAGATCCCGTCCGCACTCTTAGATTCAAGTCAGTGTGTTTCGTCTAATTGATGCTGAAATATCATTTTTTTAAATCACCACAAAAATACAACTGTATTTCTTTTGCTTGTCCAATATGCTGGACATTGCCTACAACAACATGTCATACACTCAGTGTAAGTTTCTTCAAAAAATTTCTCCTGTAATTTTGGTAAGAAAACAGTATGCTTTTTAAAAAGTGTGTGTGTGTGTGTGTGTGTGTGTGTGTGTGTATGCGTGAGCTTGTGCACGCGCTTGTGCGCGCCTGTCCCTGACCTTGCATGCAGACAGACACACATAGATGGCCTGGATTGCTTGGCAATTTAAAGCTACAATTTATGGCTCAAGCCATTGTCTCTACTGACAATTCTGATGAGCACGCTTTATGTAGTACTTGTTTTCCCTTTGCTTTAATTTTTAAGCTAACTACATAATTTATTGCTATTTTAGCTATGTTGTTGTGTATAATCTTTTTTGGACAAAAAAAAGCAAACGATAATGAATTAAAATTATTTGATCACATTATTTTTCTGTGAAAAAACTATAAAATGATTTTTGATAACTTCTTGAATGTTTTGTGATTAAAATACCCCACATCCGCAGGGCTGCTGCTGCACTCTAAAGAGTCGAAACAAGACGCTCACAAGCTCGGGCCCAGCCTGGGCAGCTGGGTGACTTGGTGAGGTTCTGTGTCACAAATGAGAACTAAGAAAAGAGCGGTTAGGCAGCTCCCGGTGGAGGCCGCGGGCGACCCCGGGCGAGGTGGGGCTGCAGTCCGCGCTCGGGCGTCCCTGCTGGAGGGGCGCGGCCCCGCCCTGCGGCTGCGCTGCTCACCTGAAGTCGTTGAAGTCCAGGGGCGTCATGGTCTCCAGGACAGCAAACTGCTGCACAAGGAGCTTGAGGATGGCCGCGACGCGCTGCATGCGGGCCACCACCTTCAGCATGTTCCGCTCGTCCCGGACCTGCGTTCAGGAGGAGACAGCGCCGCGGGCTGAGCGCAGGCGGGCAGCGCCGACCCTACCGCGCGCTGCTGGCTGCTGTGCGTCGGAGGTGACAGGAAGTGACAGCGCTGAGCTGGTGCAAGACATGTCCGCAAGCTCAGAATTCATTTTCTTTTTTTTAGAAACAAACGGCGTGGTGTGGAAGCAACCATTCGAAAGTAAATCCCAGAATACAACTTTCCCTGCTTTCAATGCAAATTTCTCTTTTAATTTTAATTTACTTTAATTTGCTTCAAAAAAAAAAAAGTTCCAAGGGCCAGGGAGCTAGCTCAGTAGAATAAGTGCTTGCCTGGCAAGCACAAGGCCCTGAGTTCAATCCCCAGGACGCAACCTGTGGACTTCAGAGAGAAGAGCAAGCAAAGGCTGCATTTCTCTGATGGTCGCAGCAGCCGGCCACTTGGGCTTGTGTCCAAGCACACCGAGGCCGCGGGCGCACCTCTGGGCCTGCCTCCTTGGAGCAGGGCACAGCAGGACTGTCTCTCCAAGAGGGCAGGTAGAGAGCTGAGTGCGACACCAGGGGGCACAGGGGGACTCAGATGTCACCAGGAGCACGTGGCCCACCTGTCCCTTTTGCCCCTTGCTTCCCCACTGCCCTCTTTCTCTTTTCTCTTTTCTTCTCCCTCTTCTTTTTTCACTTATTAGTGCTCCTTTCCTTGCAAAAGTCATGTTGATTACCAATAAAATTATTACCGATTGTATTCACAAAATACATACTGAGTTCCGCATGAAGGACTTCAAAATGAAATTTGAAAAAAAAAAAAGAGTTAACTTACTGAGAACATAACTTGATACTGTCTACTAGGAAAGTGTTTGGGATTTGTTTATTTTGTTTTGTTTGTAAGACAGGCATGCTGGTTCACACCTAGCACTGCAGGCAGAGGCAGCCCTGTCTCTGAGTTGGGCCAGCCTGGGCCACACAGAGAGCTCGAGGCTAGCAGGAACCCAGAACACGAACAACAAATAAAAACAACACTAAGAAAATGTATTTTTCTTTCACGTCATTAATCATTTCAATGTTTGGTTTTATATTTTTCACATTAATATTTTGTAGAGCTTCCAAGAATATATAAAACAATTCCCTGGCACGGTTACTTACATGACCATTCTGAAAGATCTCTCGAACAGAATCCAGTTCCCAGAGAATCTGCTTGAACCAGAGTTCATAGGCTGTAATGAGAGAGCGTGCGTCAGCGAGAAAGTTACAGGAGCTTGCACCACAGTGATGCGAAAGCCTCGTTTAATACTTGGGGAATAAGTGCAAAGGGAACTTTCTAAGTGATCAATGAAGTATAGACTCGTTTACGCTACAGAAAGATATGAGTGTCAAAGCTAGCATGGCCACCATTTACTGAATGCTTCACAAGGCGAGGCGGATTGTCACTGCGCTTTATGTCCATCATACTAAGTTGGCTTCTCTCAACAAACTACCCTTCAGGTCTTCCAGAAGATAGCAGGCAACGCAGTCCTCCTGTAGGCCAGGTGGGGTGTGGAGAAACTGTGATGCTTAGCTTCAACTGTAAACCAAAGGTTAACAGGAACCCGTATCAAAGACAAGCCTTTAAGAGTGACACTGTAAAGTAAGCTACTTGAAGGTAGAGGGGTTTTGTTTGTTTGTTTGTTTTTAATTTGAGAAAACCCAAGCAGTTCGTGGGCTTAGAGCAAGTGCGGAAATGGCCAGGTGTTTGAGATTCGATAAAAAAGCCAAAGCTGCGTTTCTATCTCGTTACCAATTCCAACTACGGTCGACATGGCACTATTCAATAGTGCTCTTATTGAGAAAGCCCATTTGCGTCCAAGGCTATTTGTTCAAGCCCAAATTCCATGAAAGTATCTGCATAGAAAGACAGAAGCAAGGCCCTTGCGTGGGAGTTGTTTGCCCCTTTCACAGGAGGCCACGAGACAAGAAAGCAGACATCGAACAGGAGTGACCTGGCTGGGTGTGAGGCACGACAGGTGTGACCAGGCTGTCGGAGCGGAGCCGATGACCTAACGCTAAAGTTCCTTAGTTCGGGTTCACTCATTCGTGCCGTGGCCTCAGAGCTACTTGCCTGCACAGGCAAGATGACGTTGTGACGCCTTAAGACGTTACACAGCAACATGACACGTCATGGTCCCTGAAGCTGAAAGCATTGCCCAGAAACAGAAAATGTAGCCAAAATAAACACATTTTAGAAAATATTTACATTTTTGCCTAATGCTACACCTTTTATAAAATTATAGAAACTTCCATAAGCTTGAATGATTCACTTCATGGGCATAGTTTTTTTAACATTCCAAGTTGAGGAAGAGTATCCTCTGTGCTTGCAAATTCTTTCTAAAATTCTAAGGGATGGAGTGAAGAGCAGTTAGCATCCTGACACAACTAGGAGCTGAGGAGCCTGAGGCAACGCTACACAGCCCAAAGGATGTCCTGGGAGAACATGTCTGATCAGATTTTCCAGCAAGGCGATGCCGGGTCATCACCCGCTGACAGATGCAGGAGGAGCGCGGTCCCCCTGTGAGGCCGAGGCCTGTGAGGTGGCCGTCCAAGCGCTGGCAGCTCACCTTGGTGGGTGATGATGAAGAGGTGCTCATCGTGGATTTTATTGCCTTTTATTTCACTTTGGAGTTCTTGTGCATTCAAAATTTTCTCCAACTTTCAATGAAAAACAGAAAGACTGATTTCAAAATTTCATAAAGGAATGAAAGGCTGGAAGAAGTTCCCAATTTCCCAACCCTTGCTGTTTCACTTTCAACGAGTGAGTCTCATCATGAAGAGAGAGTTAAATTCATGACGCTTCGTTCTCAGAAAAAAATGGTCTGGGGGGGTTTATCACAACGAGGCCGAAGGCACTAAAAATAATTCCTTGCGATTTCAAGCAGTGACCACGGTAAATCCTTGACAACTTGCCTAAGCTGTCTGTGACTCTGACCCCTGTGCCCTTGTGCTGCCCTGCAGAGCCTGTTCTTAAAAGATTGTAACTCTTTGTCCATTCATCCTTCAAAACACAGCCATAGGTGCAATAACCACTTTTTTCTTTAAATGTAGAAGAAAACAAGCACACTTAAAAACAATATTAGTCCCAAATACCTCTCAACAGTCCATTTATCAATGATTCTTTTATCTAAAAATTAATCATGTCAAGAAAATTTTGATGTGTCTTTATCATTTCCACTTGTGGTGAGAATTTCAAAGCAGAACACTTTCTGAGATGCATTTGCTGTTATCTAAGCTCAAGTTTATTGACAGTGGTTTATTTACACAAGTTGTGCAATGCCTGCCTTTTACCTATTCTCTCCTGTCCAACTCTAAGTTCTCTGCTTTTGGTTAATTTTTTATGTTTATTAACACAGTGGAGTACGTAATGATTACAGCCACAATGGGGAGTTGGTCCGTGCATGTAACATTTTGTTTGTTCCTCTTTCCCCTCCCTTCATCTGCTTTCACTGTGCTTCTACCTGCAATGCCAATTTTTACCTAAATTTTTTTAGAATTACTGTTATGGGGCAGGGAAGATGGCTCAGTGGAATAAGCGCTTCCCTGGCAAGTGCAAGGGCCTGAGTTCAATCCCCAGTTCCACAAAAAAAAAAAAAAAAATGAATTACTGTTATGAACATACAAGAAACAGAAATTTGTATAGATGGGTATGTTTGAGTACAAAAAGTTACTGACTGTACTGACTGCAGAGAGAGAGAGAGAGAGACAGACAGACAGACAGACAGACAGACAGACAGAGACAGAGAGAGAGACAGACTCAGACAGAGACAGACAGAGACACAGAGACAGAGACAGAGACAGAGACAGAGAGAGACAGACACAGAGACAAAGACAGAGACAGAGAGGCAGAGAGAGAGACAGAGACAGACAGAGAGACAGAGGCAGAGAGAGAGAGAGAGAGAGAGAGAGAGAGAGAGAGAGAGAGAGAGAGAGATCTCGTCGGCTCTATCACTTACATGCAGGTAGCTCTCATAGACAAGTCCTCCCTTGCTGGCTTTATTCACACCGCTCCGTGTTTGGCCTTCACTGTCTTCTACAGATAGATTTCTAAAAGTGTATCTACAGTTTTAAATGAAGAGAAAAAGCAGATCTAGCTAAAAACACAGTTAAGTCGTGGAGATAACTCAGTAGAAGAAGCACTTGCCTGGCAAGCACAAAGGCCTGAGTTCAATCCCCAGTTCCACAAACAAAATAATAAAAACACAGTTAACTAATAATATGGGTGATGAAGATTTGACACCCAGTTCTCTTTGGGTTGTTATGGAAGAGAATAAAATGGAGAGTTTTCAGGGCCCCTCGCAGTCCAACATTGGACAGTTCCCATTTGGCACTTTCCAGAGACCAACTCCACACAGAACAACAAAAGTAGACACTCACCCAGAGCTGCTCCCCAAGAATGGGCATCCGCTCATGGTGGCAGAGCGCGGCCTCGAAGCACAGAGGTGGCACGCCGGTGGGAGGAGCTGGCCTTCCCAGGTGCCCGCAGCTGCCTTTATGCGCCCTGCTGACCACGCCTCAGCCAATCAGCTCTCTGCCTGGCTTCTCAAGAGGGTTCTGGTTTCAGTTGGTACAGGACTGGCCCTGTGTGAACCCCGAAGTGGATAAATGGTAGGCACAGTGTGTTTGCTCGAAGGAGTGTTCTGCCAAACGAAGTCAGCTGACTTGCCAAACTCTGCTTC